ACATCGAAAAATTCGGGAAAAACTTTTGTTCATTATATCATTGTCTTCGGAAACTCCCAAATATGAAAAAATTTAAGAACCTTTGTCGTAAATTCGATTTGAAATCAGACAAGCGTAAATTAGTCTCAAATAAAAATGCACTGACAAGCTATAAGTGGTACTTTTTGCAATCTGAACCTGCACAACATAAATACACTCCCGAATTCACACATATTTTGTGCAATACTGCGATGAATTTTTGGTGGGCAAAAAAAAAAACGATACTCGTTACCATTCGGTTTACCAATGAGTTGGACAAATCCCCGAAAACAAGAAGCTGAAATTTGTTACGCATGCACCACCGATAAATTTGGTTTCAATCGAAAAAGTAAGTAAATTTAAATAAAATCATGAAATTATGAATAGTTTGCCCTCACCTTAATCGCTGAGTGTATGAAATAGGCGAAAGTTTCAGTATGTTTGGAGGCACCACGCCTAGGTATAACTATCCTTGGAAAGTCTGCAGCAGGTGTGCAAATTAAAAAAACATAAACAGTCGACGAGGTAGGAGAGAGATTTCACCAATCCATTATGTGTGTTGAGGACCGATTGGAAAACGATTGAATTCAATGTTGGCGGACTTTTGCTGGTCGATCGCAGTAGGCAAAGGGTGTTAAAAAAAAAACAAAATATGCCGAACGGGATTGAAGAGCATCCAAATTCAGGTTCAAATGGTGTATAAACTAAAACTATTAAAAAATATAACGAAATAAAATATGAGTTTTAACGCAAAGCCACATATCTGAACAATCAGTTGTATGGGAACTATATGTTATAGTGAACCGATTTCCATGATTTTCGGAAATAGTTAAGGTAATATCAGACAGTCATGTGCGAAATTTTAGTAAAATAACTGGGAGACCCCATTAAAAACAAAAGGTCCCACTTAAGTAATATCAGCTATCAAAGCCTTTGCCCTGACCACAAGTTCAAAGCCTGACTACAGTGTTTTAAACCAGGTCAAATTCTATTTCTGAGCTCTAAAATTTCCCCCCCAAATATCTCAAAATTTTGACGTGATACGGATTTTCTGAGAACGCCATCGTAATCTAGAGGCCAAAATTAAGTTTACGTATTTGGCCGTTTAACTGTGATATTTTTGCCTCCCTACAGTATAATGGGATAGTGACTCCGTTAAGCAAATTGAATGTTCATTAAAAATATTAAAATTTCGTTTTACTTATGCCTTGTCTATGTGGAAAAAATGTTTATCGTGCTCAACCGAAAGTGCAGAGTGAGAAATGCAAAGAAATTTTCCATATCAGTTGTGTTGGTATTAATCCGACTGACCTCGAGTTTTTGCTCTCGGCTGGTAAACCTTTTTTTTTGTAAAGTTTGTATGGATCAGCGTCGTGCTTCTTTACACTCGCCTCCCGTATCCACTGCTCTGTATGAGAATACTATTGCCAAACTTGCTTTGAACGCTAATTCTGCAGTTCCGCAACCGCAGCCTAACTCACAGAAAAGCCAAACATCTACGAACCCAGCTGAAAATGCGTATAAGCAACAATTAACACTACAATCGTTGTTTAACCCTAGAACACACACCCAGAAAATACCACGTAAACACACACCCGGGATACGTTTGTACCCGGGACCTTATTTTGCGGTTTTTTTAATGCTTATTCAACCGATTTCTATGATTTTTTTT